CCAAAGGCTCCACCCCTTCCATGTACCTCATTCCTCCAAGACCCTGCTTTCACGAGTTAAAGAAGGAGCTCTTCTCCTTCTCGGCATCATCATCAAACTGGTCATATCTAATGAGAGAAAGTCACCGGCTTTTAGGGAGGGAGAGCAACTAATGGTGTTTTGAAAATTAATTAACGGAATGACCTATGATTTTAACGGAATAAAATATAAGGATTCAATAAAAAAATAAAACTAAAGGAACTTAATTCAAAATGTAATGAAATTATAAGGATTGACAAATATATTTTTCCTTTTTATTAAAATATTAATAACATATCTTCTAATCTCTTCATAATTTAATTCTTTTATTCTTTTGTTTTACTTAGGATTTATGGAAAAACCTTACATGATAAAAAGTAATGAAATTATGAAAATATAATTTTATTGCAAAATTAAAGCATAACAATTTAAAAGTAAATCTCTTTTTATAACAATCCTTAATCTGCACAAGAACACGAGTTATTTTTCAATCCAAAACTTGAAAAATTGGCAAAATAAGACCTACACATTTTCCCAATTTCAGCCTTCTTATTACAATCTCTTTTTTGGATTCGAATTAATTAAAGAAAAAAGAAAGAAAAATCAGTGACAAATATCATCGCAATCACTGCTTTAACGCCGTCTCGCACTATCAATGAATTTGAAGGCCTACGTGGATAGCCTTCAATAAACGACACAAGTTTTGATGAGACCAATGGCATATTCCGATACTGAAATGCAGTACAATTGCATTCCAAGTTTCATTTTCAACGCAGGGGACGATTCTTCAGGGCTCAGCCACGATGAGGAAGGAAGCGATCGCGTGTGTGTATGTGGCGGTCAACGTCATGTCTTTGGTTTTCGTTTGTGGTGCGATCGAATCTCCACAGTACGCAGTGGTTCACCTGGAGTCCGATTTCGAGATCAGGCTCTACAGAGACTCCGTCTGGATTTCTGCTCCCACCCAGGACATTTCCTTCGAGAAGGCCACCTGGAATGGCTTCCACCGGTAATTATTGTCTAAACCAATTATATTTCACTTCGATTGTGCATATTTCCGGTGTTTAGTTGGTGATGAACCTTTCCCCCAGGTTTTTTAAACTTGTCTTGTACTATTGTGTAGTTCTTTTATATGATTTCCGGAAAGTGTTGGAAATCTCTTGAATCTTGTTCGGTTTGATCAGCACACCCACTTTTCAATGTGCCAATATCGTGGAGTGGATTTTTTTTTTTTGCTGGTAAATATTCACAAATTACGTACATTCAATCATGAATACTCTATTTCGGTCCCAAAAAAAAAATCATGAATACTCTATGGGCCTATTATAAACACGACTCTGTTTTTAACCCCTATCGAAGTATGTGCGGAACAGCTACTGAGCTCTCAGATGATCTATGCAGATTCAGACGTTTTGAAGTGAGATTATTCTGTGTCCACCTAATTGGATTAGACGAGATAGATCCTCTGCTGTCCAGCAGAGATGTCACAAGTTAAGGAAAAGCGCGAAATAGGATGGTCTTCTTGTGTGGACTTACAGCATTCATTGCTGCAGAAGATGTGGACGTGTTGATTTCACCATGGACGGTCGGAAAATATAGATCGCCATAATTTTTCCCCTCAGCATTCCAACTTCAATACTAGTTAAAATGAGAGTGAATGTAGTAAGTGAGGTGGTGGGAATTTTTATGTGTAGGTAAAGTTTGTGCTTGGAACAAATTAAAAAAAAAAAAAAAGGTTTAGAGTTGGATGACTCGTTTTTACTCTGCCCTCATCGAGAGTGATCTTTCTACTTCCGATTTCCCCCCATTATTTTTCACCTTCCCTTCATCTTTCTTAATATCACACCAGTTACCAGGAAAAAGGAAATCAAATGCCAGTAGATTTTCCATTTCCACCCTCTGAAACGGGAATTCGAGTCAAAACTAAACGTTTTCATATTCTAACTGGTCTCAATCTAGCATAGCTTCATGCCTCACACAACATACATGTAAGACCTGCTCAATTTGTAACCAGTTTGCCCTGGAAACTTCTCTTTAAACGTTGTATTTTTCCTTATCGACATTCATTTGGAGAGTTAATTGTCCCTCTCTCAAGCTCGAATGAAACATAGTTTCATCCTCTCAGGAGTCATTTTTGGATGTTGCAGGTTGTTCCAGTACACGCAAGGTGCTAACCTCAACTTCTCTCGAATTGCAATGACTGCTCCTGTGCTGACGAGCATAGTCCCTGGAGCCGGTCCCCTTCACTCATCAGCCTACTTTGTTCGTTTTTACTTGCCTGTAAAGTTTCAAGCTAATCCACCCCTTCCACTTCCCGAACTGCATATCAAGCCCCATAAATGGGTCAGCCACTGTGTGGCTGTCAGAAAGTTCTCTGGATATGCAAGGGATGACAACATTGTAAAAGAGGCAGAAAAGCTGGCCATCAGCTTGAGCAGATCTCCATGGGCAAATGCTACTTCTTCCAAGAGTCAACAGGCTTACTCAATTGCCCAGTACAATTCTCCCTTGCGGATTTTTGGGCGTACAAATGAGGTTTGGGTGGATGTTGATGCGCCTAAATTAGCTGCTTTTGAATCGGTTGGCGTCGCTGCATATTGAACTATGGCATAAATCTCAGCTCCGTTTGCATGCCAGATCAGGTTTATCTGAATGCCAATTTGTTCTGTATACCTGTATATATTAATGTAATGGCTATCAAACCTATAATATACCGGCCTATATGTGTAAAGTACTATAAATGGATCGATAGCCTAAGTTCTGCTTTTTGGTTCCCTTCACTGAATGTAAATGAAATTATGAGAAACTTCATTCAGCCAGGAAAAAGGTAAGAATGATTTTAGCCCAAAGCTTCTAGTCGGGAGGCTACGTCGTGCAATTAGAGGCCAAAAGCAGAGCTGAGGCACTGAGACAACACTTGCGTTCTGTTCAGAGGTAATACTCAAAGTAAGTGCTAGTATAGTATATACAGTACTGTGTCTTGAACCATGAACATTGTCCGGGTAAAAAAGAAAAAAAAAAAGAAAAGGAACCATGGGCATTGTCCAAATACTGAATGAAAGAACATGATAATCAAATCTGCACTCTGCTGAGTGCAGAACATCAAAATGACATTGTTTGCGTATTTTATTTCACAAGTCTAAGAAGATTTATATTGAGAAAGTTCAAATTCTAATCATACAATGGAATTACTATACTCATCACTGAGTTAGCTTAAAGTGATAAAAGAAATTAGTGCCAGAGAGTTATCCCGGAAATATCCATCACACATTTCACCTGTTTAAATGAAACACAACGAGTACGTGTTGCCTTTCAAGAGTATATGCTACCTTCGGTCTTTAATATAAGACCCTGTTTGACTTTTATTTTGGTCCTAAATATAAGATCCCAATTCACTTTATCTTTTATATTTATACATTTTTTTTGAAAGTAGCCTTTTAAATAATGATAGTTTTAGTCAATACACTTGATTAGTAAGGATATTTTAAGAAAGACAACACCTATTTAGGACAAATAACTAACTCAATTTACTTTTTTAATCTCTTCAAATTAATTAACTGGCTCTTATAATTAGGATAGGAGATAATATTACCCATCACATTGGATTGATTTTTTTTTTTTATCTCATTTCAAATATCCAGATTTTGGATTGTCCGCTTCCTTTGCCTCCATCTCGCTACAATTATCCAAGACATATTTGTGCTTAAAAGATTATGAAATAATTAAGTTTGAAGTAAGACTTTCACAAATTTTTTTCATTTTACAATATGATAAAAATTTTTTAAAAGAAAGTATTTGGATTTGTTTTTTTAGCCATCGTATCTATTTTTTTAATTGAAAAATCATATTATTAACAGCTTATGACACATTACAAAACAGACTAAACAGAACACACAAACACCAAAACGACACCATGTCTATTTAAAAGATTACTGAATAATGTTTAAGAGGAATATTTTGATATAAAAGAGTTATACTTAGGTAACTTAACATCTAATTAATCAACAAAGGAATGTAAACGGAATGTTAAATAAATTACCTCCATAACTTAATATAAAAACTAGTTAATTAATTTAAGTGGATTAAGAAAATTAGTTATGTTAGTTATTTGTAATAAATAGATGTTGTTTTTCTTAAAATATCTCTACTAATCAAATGGATTGGCTAAAACTATCATAATTTTAAAGACTACTTTGAAAAAAAATTAGACAAATATAAGAGACAAAGTGGATTAGGGTATTATATTTATGACAAAAATAAAAGTTAAACAAACTCTTATACTATCTCTGGTTCTAAATATAAAAACTAGTTGATTAATTTAAGTATATTAATAAAATAAGTTAAATTAGTTATTTATAATAAATAAATGTTATCTTTCTAAAATATCCCTACTAATTAAGTTTATTGTTTAGAACTATTATTATTAGAATGACTATCTTAAAATAATAAATAAATATATAAACAAAATAAATTGAAATTTTATATTTAAAATCAAAATATAAATAAAATAAAATCTTATACTCCTCCGGTCCTAATTATAAGACCCAATTGACTTATTTGAGGAGATTAAGGAAGTAAGTTAAGCTGGTTATTTATAATAAATAAGTATTGTTATTCTTAAAATATCCTTGCTAATTAAGTATATTGTCTAAAACTATCATTATTAGAAGGAATTATCTTGGAAAAAAATACATAAATATAAGAGAAAAAATAGATTGGGTCTTATAATTAGACTAATAAAAATCAAATTGGGTCTTATAATAAGAATAGGAGGAGTATTAAATACTTCATGTAGTAACAATTAACAAAGACGTGTGTATGAGAAACTGTGCAAAATTGTTTTTTATTCCTTCGCCGCATCTCATTTCTCCTCTCTCAACGTCAACGGCTTCCATTTGCCTTACTCTCTGTTGTTTCGTACGCCAGTACCATCGACGGTCGAAAACATTTGGAGAAACGAACAGGACCGTTAAAACTTAAAAGCCCTAAATCAACCAATCATGGCTTTCTTCGTATTCATCATATCTCTTTCTTTCTCTATCCCCCGAGGATATGGATAAAAGCATTGTTATTTTCAGACTGCTTCTATGTTGGTGAAAGATTTTCATTCCAGTTGCTCATGAATTCAGCTACGCAGGTCAGTTGCATTCAACTCCTTTTCTTATCTACCCGAGATTTGCTTGTTCCAATGAGCTTCTCAATTTCGTGCGTGCCACAGTTTGGTTAGTCTTAGCTAGTTTTTTTTTTTTTTTTTTGGGGGGGGGGGGTAAACATCAATGGGAGAAAATTTCATTGTGGTTGCATTTTTCTGATTGCTTCATATGCCGCCAAACGGAATGGTGAGCTCATCCCACTGGGATTATGGGTGACTTTGCCATTTTAATCTGGCTCCGTGCATCTGTCCAGTGTTAGAGAAGGGTGCTCTTTTTCTCTTAATTTTTCCGATTTCGCTTACTTCTTCTTGTGCTCAATTTTGAACCCCTCTTTAAATGTAACATAACCGAAACATATTCATAATTGGGCTCGTCGATTCCTTCGTGTATCATTGTTTAGCTGAACTTAAAACTCTCCTCGGCATTCTTGGGCATTAAAATTTGAACACTACGAGCTATAACACTAAATACCACGCTTCGCCTTTCTTCCTTGTGTTTGTTGTCACATGAGCTACTTGGATGAGCTTATTCAACTTCCTTCCGCATATTGTTCAAGATGTGTATAGTTTTGCATCTGATTTCTTGATAGTTTACCAATGCCTACCGCTTGAACTTTGTGGTGATTTTTGAATACGTTCTTGCTCGTAGATCATTTGGTGGATAAAGAGTTGAAATGGCTTTAATAGCCCTTCAACCACAGGTACCTATTTACATATTATTTGGCTAGAACTCTGTCACCGCTAGAAGATAACTGTCAGGTTTTAATCCCCCAACTATGACTACTTTCAAATTTTATGCCTCCTATGTATAAAATTGGGTGCGCAGCAAAATTGTTGTCTGAGCACTATGGCACTGAGTGGCTTAACCTTGTAATATGGTGCTAAAAAATCTCTACATGGTTGTTAAGAAATGAAATATTTTAGATAATTTGTTATTGCAATCTGACGTGCTCAAAGTTTAGTTTTAATGCAACACATATTTAGTGAAGCAGGAGACGTTCTGCATAAATGATTAATGACCTTTTGTGGTGGCACGGGTTCCATTACACCAAATTTACCTATCATAACTTCTACTAACCAGAGCCGCCAGCTTAAACCTATCGTTTTTATTTTCTTGTGTACAGGGCTCATGTGTGACATTTTCTTCGAGGCATGCGCCATGGAGCAAAAGTCTAAAGTTGAAGCAGGGTTCAACAAAACACCACAGAATTGGAAGAACTGATTGGAATTACCTACCTAAGCGAAGTATTTTAAGGTGTAGCAATTTGTGTCCAGTTTCCTTGTAGTCATAACTAAAAATGGTCCTATGTTTGGAGTCACCGGTTTCAAGAACTTCAAAATGTTTGGGAGAAGCTAACATATAGAACTACCTTACAATTTCTGAGGTAAACAGAGAACAGTTGACAGTACCAACTCACAGAACAACTCAATGTAATTGAATTAAAATATGACAAAACAATTTACAACAATTGAATATTTCGTGTTATGCAAGAGCAAAATTGTCTAGGGAGGGAAATTTGTGCATGTAAGCTATACTTAAAATTAATTGTTTCATGGGGTGATCATGCTGGGCTCTTGTTGTTTCAATCATGGTAATGCTGATACTGTATTCACTTTTGCCTTGTTCTAGCTTTCATACTTATTTTTCTCCAACTGTATGTGCCAGTTAATTTTGTAACATATGGAGACATGCATGAAGTGAATGCACATGATCTTTTTGTCTTCGTCCTTTAAATAATTTTTTGTTTCAGTGTAGGGCCTTCTTACATTTTTGGAGCCAAGATTCAATCTTTCAGAATTTCAGCCTTCAAAGACAGTTCCCAACATTATCAAAAGGGAGGTAGACCTAACGGATTGAAAGTTCCTAAGGCTTATGTTAGACTGGAGGAGGGTGGGGAGACCAAATCAGAATCTCCAAAGGCCCAAAATGTTCCACTTTCTTATGGTTCTGAAGCAAATGACGACCTCGCAAATGAGAATATTCCAACATCAACTGCTATTCATAAACTTTTCAAGAAATGGCTGACAATATTGCGCACACAGCCAGCAAGTGAAGAAGTGAAAGAAATTTTGGGAGAACCATCCCAAGGGGCTTTACCAGAAACTCTTGATGGCTCACAAAGTATTGAAAGAGGTAAGATTTTGAAGGTAGCATGGACCCATTTTCTGGCCCTGGACGAGACGGTAAAGATTCCTTTACTGATATTGTAAGTATGATGGCTTTCTCCTCCTTGCATGTTTGCTGTCTGCCTCTTGGGACATTACTGTTGTTCACTATACTGGGGATCTGGGAAAGAAGGATTTTTTCTTTTGTCTCTGAGGTTTTCTGAGTGTTTTTTGCCACCACTCAGTTAAATACATGACTTTTCTCAAGTGTCAGCTTGGATTTGTTGGTTGAAGCAAAATTCAGGCTATCAAACTTGATTTCGTGGGCAAAAAAAGAAAAAGGACCTTGTGATGGGAAGGAGGGGTAGTGCTTGATTGAACTTTGAACGATTACTCTGTTCCTTGTTATCACAGCATTTTGAATACTATCAAGAAAATGTATTCCACTGGTGAAGTAAGTTTAGGATAGTGTGTTCATGATTGAAAATTTGTGGTGTTACCTGTTAGATATCTGGGGAATTAGGCTCCCCTTCTACCTGGACCCTTTGTAATTGTGGGATTATCCATTGAGTGGATCTTTCATTTTTTTTTAAATTGATTTGACTGAGAAATTAAATGGGCACGAGGTCAAAGTTTTAAAACAGAAGCAAATTTTACCTTTCTTGCAATTCTAGGTAAATATTTTGTTGTGGGTTTCAGCTTTTCTTGCCTAGTAAATAATGTCAACAGCATTGATCGTCAATATTGCTGTCGTCTCTTCTGTGTCTTATAATCTTTATCTTTTATTTGCAGTGTTCCTTTTTATCTGGCTGTTAACGTCAGATACGGAGCTAAAGTTTCAAAGGAATTAACTCCTTTGTGGGTTGTGGGGCCATTAATTGTGGCTCTTTACGTTGTAATAATCCGGAAGCTATGGTCCCTCTATGTCTTCAGCTTCAAGCAAACTGTCAAAGTAATTAAGAATTTTCCCTCTTACTGCATTTTGGCCTACAGCTACGTTTTTGGTGGCAAGATCAAAGAAGATTTCCAAACTCTTATCTTGCAGCCTATATTGGGCATAAAAGGTATTGATTACAAAGAACAATCAAGAAGAAAATTGAAAGAACTGAAAGAATGGATAGTGGAGAAATACCTCGATTTCGTGGAATCAATATGGCCCTATTATTGTAGGACGATTAGGTTTCTTAAAAGGGCTAATCTCATTTAGATTTGAAATTATTCTGAGGATAGTCTTGCAATCTTCTGAGTTTGCGTTGAGAATTTTCAAAGGGGGCTGGCCAATCCCATTTTGTGCTGGGATCTTGGTATTTTGATTTTTGAGCGAGAAAATGGTCGCGACAATGTATTCTATTCGGAGACGAGGTTGTATCCAGTTATTGAATTACTACTGCTTATATTTTCGAGGTTGTAAGCGAGCTTCATTCTACAATTGTTCATCTGCATTGATCGTTATTTTTTTCTATCATTCCCACACTACCACTTTTGACATATTCCATAAACTGCGTGCTGAAGAATTGGTCCGAACTTTGAATAAACAACCTTTTGGAAGAGATGGTAACTGGAGGCTGGAAATTGTTCGATTTAGAGAATTTGATTTATTATTTTAATTTTTGAAACAACAATATCTCGGGATCTGTATATTGGATGGAGGTTGAGAAAGCGAGTCATTGTTAGTTCTATTTCTATTGATTTGTGCTTTTATGAGTTTGAATTTTGGTGTCTGGATCCGAGTTTATTGATTTTCATATTTCAATATCTTTCTCCTGCCTTCCCCAAACGTAGATGGCATTTTAGGTAGTTTGCAATTTTTTTTTAAATTTGGTACGTCTAAAAATATTAAGAAAGCTAAAAAAATTATTTAATTTTAATAAATGTGTTATAGAATATTCTTAATATTATATTATATATCAACTTATAGATGAGGTAAATTCTTTTTAAAAAAAATAATAAATATAAGTTATAAAATAAATTAAGATAATATTTATGATCCAAACTAATTCTCTGAGTATCTCTTTTTACCAAAGGAGCAATTTTTAATTGACCTTTCTTGCATACAAAACTGTTAGCTGGCATTCTTTCATTCCATTCCTTTCGCTTCTTTTCCGTTACAATACCAATACATTTTATTTCATGAAAGAGCTTGAATTGAGGTAGGAGTTCAAAAAGAGCTTGTGCTCGGGGTCTGATAGTTGTTTTCGGGTCAGGCTGTCTTGCTGAGTCATAATTCCGTTCCTTTTCCGGGTCTTGCCGGCGACCCGGAAAGGTTAGCTTCTATTGGTTCTGCTCTCGCAAACTTGCCAACCGACGCAAGATCAGTTGGACGGTGGGAGCATGAAAAATGGGAGGCCGCTTGTAGTTATACGTTTCTTCTCATTACTCCGCAGGAATATTGCTCTCATCCCGTTCAATCAAATTTCATCGCCAGCCCAAGACTTTTTGTCTCCCACTATACTGCTGTCCAATACTTTACAGCATTACATCAATTCAGATAATCCTTCCGATGGTCTATATATTCATTCCCACATTCTGAAAACTGGGTTTGTTCCAAACAAGAATATTTCCATCAAACTCTTAATATTGTATTTGAAATGTGGTTCTTTGAGATACGCACGCCAGATGTTTGAGGGATTGCCCGAGAAAACTCTGTCTGCTTATAATTATATGATTAGTGGTTATCTTAAACATGGACAAGTTGAAGAATCCATCAGTTTGGTGCGTTGGCTGTTAGTCTCAGGGGGAAAACCTGACGGTTATACTTTTTCAATGATTTTAAAAGCATCAACTTCCTCTGGCAATGTCACTCTCGGTGATCTTGGAAGGGTGGTACATGCCCAAGTCCTCAAATCTGATGTGGAGCTGGATGATGTTCTGTCTACGGCTCTTGTCGACTCTTATGCAAAGAATGGGAGGGCTGCTTATGCGAGGATCGTGTTTGATATGATGTTAGAAAAGAACGTGATATGTTCAACGTCTCTCATTTCTGGTTACATGAATCAAGGTTCTGTGGAAGATGCAGAATATATATTTCACAAAACGGTAGAGAAGGATATTGTAGTATTCAATGCAATGATTGAAGGATACAGTAAATCATCTGAATATGCCATGAAATCTATTGAAGTTTATATTGACATGCAAAGGGTGAACTTTAGACCAAATATTTCTACGTTTGCTAGCATAATTGGTGCTTGTTCAGCGCTTGCAGCACTTGAAGTCGGTCAGCAGGTGCAAAGTCAGCTCATAAAGACTCAACTTTTCTTTAACATAAAAATGGGAAGTGCTTTAATAGATATGTATTCCAAATGCGGAAGGGTGGCTGATGCTCGAAGAGTTTTCGACCACATGCCTGAAAAGAATGTTTTTTCATGGACATCTATGATTGATGGATATGGGAAGAATTGTTTTCCAAATGAAGCACTTGAACTATTTTGGAGGATGCAGAATGAACATTGCATTGAACCTAATTTTGTGACATTCCTTAGTGTCCTCTCAGCTTGTGCTCATGCTGGGCTTGTAGATGAGGGTTGGGAGATCTTTTACGGTATGGAGAATGAATACTCACTGAAGCCAAGTATGGAACATTATGCTTGTATGGTTGATCTGTTAGGACGAGCAGGAAGGTTGCATCAAGCTTGGGACTTTGTCATGCGGATGCCTGAGAGACCCAATTCTGATGTTTGGGCTGCTCTACTTAGTTCATGCAGACTCCATGGTGATTTAGAGATGGCAAAAGTAGCAGCAGATGAACTTTTCAAGTTGAATGCTGATAAACGACCAGGGGCATATGTTGCACTATCAAACACTTTAGCTGCTGCTGGGAAATGGGATGGTGTGAGTGAACTTAGGGAAATAATGAAAAAGAGAGGGATTTCAAAGGAAACGGCTTTCAGTTTGGTTGGAGCAGATAGTGTTTGTTAGTTCTCATGGGGGAGGCAAAGAAGTACTAGAACATATAGAGTTCAACAATATGATCTCTCTCTTGTGCTTTCATGCTGTCAAGCGTTGTCATGTTCTTGCAAAACAAATGCATCGCTTTGCTGCATCCTTGATCTTTCTTTTCTTTTTCCTTTTCCTTTCCTCTCTTTCTGACAAAATTTTCTTTTTCTGTATGATGTAAAAAGATGTTGCATGAGAAAATCATGTAATACTATATATTGAAAATTAGATCAAACCTATGATTTTGTTTGACTACCCGCCTTGGATTGGGAAAATTTAGCAGAAAGGAAGCAGTTCTTTCTATTGAGAATTTGCAGAGTATGATTCAGGGAGGTCAATCCCAATTATTGTGTAAGAGAATTAATGTTAATCTTTGAGGCTCTATTTTTTTCAAAAATATAGTAGTATGAAAAAATCTTGATGAATATTAATCACAAAAGTATACTAAATATTATCGAAGTCATAATCTGGGTCTTTGTACATTCACATCTTTGTACATCCACGCTGTCCTATGTCATATTCCAGTTGAAGCTCCTCTCATTAGCAGAAGTCAGCTTCCTAGTCCTTCTAACTTATGCTTCACACATTTCATTTCATGCTCATCAAAGTGCTTCATTCATTGCTTGTATGAACTAACAATGTTTGGTACAGATGTTGGCTAGAAATTTCGGAAATGAGTAGTTAGATTCCAACTAAATACTTAAAATTATGTGTATAGGCATCTATTATTAAAATTTCTAATTAAAGCATAAAATTAAAAAATTGAATAAAACATTTTCATGTCATGTGTTTATCAAATTTAATAGTAAATACGACAACAATGTTTGCCACAGCTAGCGAATACCGTGGGTATTGTTAAAAAAAAAAAAAAAGGGAAATGAATGCATTTAAAAATTTTAATATATATAGGAGCATAGTTAGTTAAATGGTTAGAATGTTAAAAGATGACAGATCAGTCATTATTGTATAGTCAGTTCGCAAAGATTATCATTACATTTAAATGTATCAATTAAACAAGTTTATCTGTATTAAATAAACAAGTTTTTTAGTCCTCGTATTATAAATTAGAACATTAATTGCAAATTATTTATATATCAATGTTAAATTTTAAAATTTCATCACCGATATATGTTAGCTAATATCAAACATTTAAAAAATAATTTAAGTTAAGAATTAAAATATCCATCGGAAACTTTTGACTTTAGAATATTACCACAAGTTTCTTCTATCATGTCAGTTAAACAAATTTTTAAGTCTTTTATATTGGATAGTTACAAAGTTTTTATATTTCATTATTAAATTTCAAAAAATTAAAAAAAATTATTCAACACACACACATATATATTGCCACAAAAATTTGGCACTTATCCACCATTACTTAACCCAAACGGAAACAGTTATGATAATTTTGGCACGAAACCTCTATCTGGCAGGGAACGCTTGGCAAAAAGAAAGAAAAACAAATCTCTTCAGATTTTTCAAAGCACGTCCCAAATTCAAGCACACGTGAACATACGGCTGTTCTATTAATTAAGTTTGGACCTAATAATACTCAAATTTAATATGGTCATACTAGTATATTGTAAGCAAAGGAAAAAAATTGCCACTTCTAAAATTTAAAATTTAAAGTTATATAATAATTTTACAACAAATCTTCTCGCTTTTAACAAAACGTAAGAAATTTGATGTAATTACGGTACGATTTCAAAAAATTTCTCAGATCATTTGTAAACGTAATTTTAAATAGTTATAAATATCAAATTCTCAATTAAGCGACCTACAAGATTTAAATACCTGTACTTGCAACAATTGAAATCAATATTTAGAATTCATCTTTCAGCAAAATTTTCAGAAATCTAAGTATCATAAAAATTAACTTTCATGAATTAGCTATCATTCAAACTTTGGGGCGCACTTTAAAACAAAAAAACACTTGATCCCCTTGTAAACTTGAAGGTTGTTTTGAGCTGAAAGCTCTTACTATTCTCATTTTGGTTCTAACATGCCCCATTCTAAGACAAAGCACATGACCCAAAAACAACCAACAGGTCAGTGTAGCAGTGCTCGAAGCTTCTTTAGCCAATAAAACAAAATAAAATACAATAAACAAAAACAAAACAAGCCTGAAGCTTCAGGTGTGAGATCTGACCTGTTGCTCACTTTCATCTATTTCCATGAGGGAGGCCAAAAGATCTTCTAAGGGCAACTCAACCAGAGGGAGCTCCGAAGTTGAACATTGGATAGCAATTTGCTCTGATATCATGACCCTCAGCCCCAGTAATAGTGTTATCATAAACTACACTTTGCTATACATACAACACTCATACAAACAAAAGAATTGAAAGAACTGTATGCACAGCTAATACTACTCCTACAAGCCTACCGACTGAAGCTCTGCCAAAAGTCGCTCATACTCACGTTTTGTTTCTTGTATTTTACTTCTAAGTTGTGACACCTGCACAAAAACATGACACAATTGTGAAATGGCAGGCAAATCATGGATCCAGGTCAAGCTTCAATGTAGATTGTCAATCAAATCGAGCCCAAGTAGATCGCAAATGGTACAATAAATCAAATATAGACATATTCCCACGTACAAGTTAAACTTCAAAAAGCATAGTGAACTACAATTTATGAGATATAATCCTTTAATGATATATAAAGAATTGTATTTTTGTCTATAATTTTATATAAAATGAAATATAAAAAAAAATCCAAGACATAATATTTATTGTCGAGAGCAAGTAAGACTGGCATTAATTAATTAATATTTATACGCTTATTTTATATTAGGTTTCAATATTTCCTTTATGTATATCCCAGGATTAGATATGGATATTATATCATATCCTATCTGTCTAAGAAGAATAAATCTAAGCTACTAGAATTAAACAGGATTCTAGGTTTAGCCGTTAGCCTATTTTTTGCCCATACAAAGGCCTACTTTTATTCTGATTGATTAAGGATTAATAATAATCAGAGGCCCTATTTTTCTCTCTGCCTTCAATCCTTTATAGTGACAACTTAGCTACTAAGCTTAGCAAGCCAAGATTAAACTTTCAAGCTCAACTCATATACTTCACGAGCTTAATAAGTTGGTCAAGCGTGTTCATTTGATGAAGAAAGCAGATAAAAGTTCAAGCTTCAACCAAGTCCATGCACAAGAGGCCATAATGAATATACTCCCTCCGATTCGAAATATAAGCATCAAATGGCTAATTTACACAATTAAAAAAATTAGTTAAAATTCATTGAAGACAATAAATATGTAAACAATGCAACTTATCTTTTAAAACATCTTATTTATGGAGAGGGTAAATGAGAGAGAGAACGAGTAGAAAAAGAGATGAGAAAACATATAATTAATTAGGGGTAAAAAATATATATATATTAAATGATCAGACAAATTTAAAGTGATTGTTGGGGGGGGGGGGGGAGGGGAACCCAAGCCCCTTCATAGATTTATGTTTATATTTTGAACCAGAGGGAGTATACAGTTCAAAAGCAACTTGATTATTTCCCACTCACAAGAAACGATGCATCCATTATACTTTCAGCACTTGCCGTAAAGGATACAAGTATGATAAACTTCAACCAAAAACGGCAAAAGTAAACAACTTTTCCTGTCAAGGCTTGAGGCAAAAAATAATGAAGTAAACTTTAGTGCCATTAATTATATCTTTACCATTAGATTCTTGAGATTCTTATATAAAGAGATGACGAGTCAAATCCATTGAAAGAAACAATAACACAATGCGCACTTGTAAAGATAAAAATCTGAGAACTATGGAAAATCTAAATATTCTACAAAAAATAAATTAAAAAAAAACTTGAAATTAGAAACCAACACTCAAGCAAGGCACTGAACCATTAGTTCACAAGAATTTACCTTTAGATTAAGTTCTTCCTCCTCCTTTTCAAATTGCAAACATCTGCAGAAGAGGGGAAAGAGGGAGAGGGAGGATGAGTAAGTTCTATGCTTCATACTACTGCCATGATAGCTCAGAATTCAAGACAACCGTTAGTTCGTTAGAAGTTGACAAAGGCAAATAACCAACAAGGAGAGGAAGATAAAGGAGAGAAGTTGACCGACAATGTTGTACTGAAATATAATCAGGCGATACTCACTTTTCACGGAGCTTCTTGTTCTTTACCATCAAATTTATAGTATCTTGGTCCCCCCCTTGTCTAGCAGGTTCTGACACGATCTACATAGAAATTAAAAAACATCGGTAATCAGTAACTTTAGCAACACTATACAATAAGATGGTTTCTATGACGTGCAATGATTGCAATGAGCAAGTAGACACGCTTATGAGTTTCATTATCGAAAGGGATTTGCCTTTTAAGGAAAAAAATATTTAGATTTTGCAATGATTTACAATAATTGGTTGAAGTTTAAATTTGAAGAAAAACTAACGATATTCAGAGGTACAGATGCTTTAAATTAGAATGTATGAAGACAACCACCACGGTTTCAACTAAACTTGTACACAAGTTACCAACACAGACCTGTATCTTATCGTAACTGCACGCAACACCAGTTATTTCATTCTCTTTCCTTGCACGCCCTTTTATATCCTGAACCTCTATCGATTCGTGCATCTTTCTCTTAGCATGACATCCTGAATCACCATTAAGAAATCATTCTTTCAATAAAAATAAGTGAGTGTAGTGATGCGATATCTCGTTCCATGCTCAAGCAGTCACCTTGCTGAGATCCACTTTGCAACGCTGCTTTTTTATTCAAAACAGGCGAAAATTTTCTGTCCACCGTGAGGGGCTTTTCTATACCAGGCGGGTGGCAAGGATATGATTCCAGTTGCAGAACTCGAGGCTTCTTTTTTGCTTGATATCCAATCAGTCCACAATGATAATCCCTGCCGAAGTTAAAAGAATAATTTTTTTTCTTAAATACTACATATGAATTGCTTAACACATAATATAATTATGCAAGCTTTCCATCAACTAGTATCCGCAAAAGCTAAATCTCTACCTCAGGGTATACTATACAGTTATCAGACTAAACATTCAAACATGTTGCAGAATGAGGGAAATGAAGCCCAAGGGAAGACGGAACAGGCAAGAATAATTATTTCTGCAATCCCCATATACAGAACAGCAAGATATAAGAATAGAAAACACTTTACCAATATTCCCACGTCATTTCCTTCAAGCGAATTTCAAGCTTCTGAAACAGGGGAGTTCTCTCAAAATCTTGTTTATTATGAATAGGCTCAATAAAATCTGCTCGCAGGACACCTGGAATGAGATCAAACAGTAACGTATCTGCTATACAACTGCAGAATATTTCTAACCTCAGCCGGAAATAAAAACATTGAGCAAGCAGCAGTTCCTGCTTACCAACCACTCCTCTACCCCTGCTATCAAGATAGTTCACAACCTGCCAAAATGGCTGCAAAACATAGAAGCGCCATGGTAGTAAATTAATGTTGAGGGAACAGCAGATAAATATAGATACTTGAAATTTTGTAGTCGGCATAGTTTGACAAACTAATCTTCATATAATGGGGAAAAGCTCCTTTGTCCTTTTTTTATTACAATGAAATTGCTTTGAAAAAGCCATTTAACAACCTCTTCTGCCACAATCAAATCAATGCATTTTGCTAAATGTGAAAATTGAATACTCTGTTATGCAATGAGAAAAATTTTCACTCTCTTGGCAAGCCATAAAACAAATCATTCCTAATTAGCTTTACCTTTCTCCTACCGTTAAAACAAAAAAGACAAGCACACAACAAAATAAATGATTTTCTAGCCATTCTAATTGCACCAGATAACCAGCAACCATATAGAAACCACTAGAATCCATCATTTATCTCCTCTCCCCCCCCCCTTAAAATAAAGCTATATTTTCCTGTGATATATGCACATTCCACATGGAGAAAACATAACCAATTCATTCAGCAAACTGTTTCATCGATATCCAACAACTGCTTAGGTGTACCATAACATAGTTGCCTCAAACTAGACAAAACATTTTGGGCGTTAATTACCAGTATCAGCCGATTCTTGTGATATACATTGAAGCCATGGATGTTAACATGAGGAGCCTCTTTAAGAAATCCTATTGTAGTCACAACTGTTCCCTGCACAGAGAGTGAACTAGTTTGTGAAGAATCTCCTCAATTTAGTTAACAATTTCAACAAAGTTGAAGACAGTGCATTAATAGTGAGAAAGCGTTCAAAAAGAAGAAAATAACCTCTTTACATCCACCACTATTGGGCTGGTACAAGATATATTCAGGAAATTTAAGATCATCAGCAATGTTATGGGGCTTCACAACTTGCCCTCGCAGTATAATTCTAAAACTTTCAGGCACCCGCAGGTACAATATAGACAAGTAAACCTACAGAACATGACAAAAAATTAGACTAAAAAGAATCATACACATCCACTGAAGAAAAAATACCTTAATCAGGCATACCCGTAAAGAATATTTGCACCGATTAGCAATGTGTTGCTCATTCACTGTCTTCCAGGCAGGAACAGTGTCAACCTTTTTAATATCCCCGGCAATGCAAATGTCCTGCAGCCAACATGTATCAAAGGAAATTCATATAAAACGGAACAAGGCAAAAACAGGAAAACCAACAAACCCCAAATCCTACCTCAGGGTCCTTATCAAAATCTAGCTCCAGATTGCCATCGTCATTAAACCATAAATTGTAGATTATGACTTTCGTACCATGAGGTCCAATATTTTCAAACTGCCAGAGAATGTGGAGCAGTTGGAGTAAATCTGAATCCTAAAATGGTAATGCTCTTAATCTAGCAAAATAGCACTAGACATCGTAAAAAAATAACAAGGTCAAATGCGTTGACCTTGTACAATGTTCCATTTTAATCAGAATATAGTAACAGGTCATTCAGAGCACAAATTGAAATAGAACGAAGGAAAATTAAATAGAAAGAGATTCTGCGAACTAGAAATGATGAGCATGCCTCTACTTTCGAAAAGTAATACAAAAGGACCGACATTGTTAAATAATGATGACAAGGGCATAAGACATTACACACCACCAAAAAAAAAAAAAGATAAATACATTGTGATGGATTCCTTTTCCATCTCCATACCAAAAAGCCTTAATTTCATCATAAGTTACTTTTTTTTTATTTATTGTTTGAGTTAAATGTTGAATCAGTTAAGTAATATAATCAGCAATTTTAAACAGAATGGCATCCCACATTAGAGCCATCATGTAATATAAATTTTCTTTTGAAGTAGCTTCATCTTTGACTAGTAAGACAGCAGCGACCACCTCTCAAAAGTAGGGGTGTTCAAAGACCAGGTTGGACCTGGTTACACCCTAACCTGATGTCTAATCTTAAATAACACCGGGCTAGAAAAATTAGTCCATAGTCCAGTTTGACCCGAATACAACCCAGTCTCGAGGTTATACTGGACTTCCAGACAGGTCCTGATTTAAAAAAAAAAAGACTAAGCAAATTTTTTTAAAAACTACAAAAGCCCAGCCCAAATTTTAAAAAAATATTTATTAAAAAAAAAAAAAAAAAAAACTAAACCCACCCTTCCTCCTTGCAATTAGACGCAAGCATCTTCTTTTCTTCCTCTTGGCTGCAAGATTTGGGATGTATGAAGAAAGTACTTAATGGTGTACCTTATGTCAGGATGAGTAAGATTTTTTTTTTTTTCCCCACCTAACAACATCTCTCTTCTTCCTCCTTGCGATGAGATTTGTTGTTTGTCCATGAGTCATGATGTTAAGATGAAGCCATCAAGATCAATTTCAGATCTGAGATGAAGCTAAAGACAGACTTTGAAGCAGAGATTTGGCAACCCAAGATCGAAGATGCATGAAGGCTTGAGGATCCTTGAAGCAGAGATCAACAAAGCCAAGAGATCCAAGAGCACAGACCGACAAAACTGATGGACTTAGAAGCGAGGAGTGGAAGAATGGAAAACTGGAACGGCCAATGACTGTTGGTAGAAGCAAAATCGCCGAACGGGCATAACACTTTTTCTTTTGTATTCTTCATTAAATTTTAAAATGTGTATATATATATTAATATGGGGTTGGACCGGACTAAGTGGTCAAACATATTAGTCTGAAACCGGGTCTGACCCAGGTAGAAAACCCGACATGGTCAGCGCAATGTCATTATTAGGTTGCTTTTTTGTAGATCGGGTAGGACCAGACTGGACCGGCTTAGGGCGGGTTAGACTGAGTCTCGAGTTTGATGCACAGCCCTACTCATAAGAGTAACAAGATTATGAAACAGGTCACCATATTCATCAAAGAGCTATTGAAATTAATATGAAAATATTGAAATTCATTGTGATAAATATTCAATTTGGAATTAAATAGAAAAATGAAAATGAAATTTATATATTATTTAATTTTATGGCAGCCTTACGTTGCAGACACCAAGAATGTGCAACCTGCACTAATATAGCAAGAGCTGTAGATGATCAATCAAACAAGGAATGTAGCATCGAAACCTAAGGATATCTATATATCTCAAGAAAGTTTGAAAAAATGGAAACAATTCAACATTACTCAAAAATATTATTGAATGAAGGAAGGCTTCAGAAATTACTTGTTCCAGAAGTTCTGCTTCTGATGAATACGGAGACCACGTTAACAGCATGGATAAATTGGACATAAAATGTTCGCTACCATTCAACATATCCAGCTTACTGGTTGACATATTAAACTCATAACTAACCTGAAATTGACATGAACAGTCCATGGTGTAAATGGAGAAAAGAAAATCATTTGATAAAAGGGTCATCCAAGGGATGTTGAAAATGACAGTTTCTGTACAATAAGCGGTCTGCAAGTTATCATTTCATCTTCCAAAACCACAATACTAAAGTAGAGAACTTGAAAAATACCACGCACCATAGGTACCACTATTCTGTCAAGCTTTGTTTGCATCAAAAATGTAAAAGACAGAAGTCCAATGCTTTGAGTCAAAACCCTGATAAAAAAACAAACAGTGAGTTTATAAGGTGTATGTAATTATTTACAATAATTTCAACATTTGTTCATCCTGCCCATGCCGATAGAACTACACCATTTTTAAGAGTTTGATATATGTACACAGAATGCGCAAAGGTTTCAGGCAAAACCCTTGAGAAACAAGCTCAAAATCGAAGGGATGATTAATTTCATTTTCCAATCAGATCTAAAACTAACCCAAATAAAAGAAAAGAGCATCTCACTGACATGTGCTGCAGAAATACATCTAAATCTAATGCAATCATTCAAGCTTATTTAACAATTTAATAAAGAGTCATATTTCCCCCAAAATGATAAAACGGCTAACCATAAAGGAGGAGGCCCATCAACCCATCAGAACGCAACATAAAATCAGATGAATTTTTCAATTATAAACTCTTACCCCTTATTCTGGTGACGGCTGAAGACGACAACATCTGCACCGAGTCTCATGCTACTAGTTTTGAATCCATTTCCATCTGGAAGGCCAGAATTGACAAATAAATATGACTACAATCTACAATATTCACATAAAGAATGTCAACATACATACACTGCCCAATTGCAAATTTTGACTTCTTATCTGAAAAGCCAAAGCTCATACAACAACGCATAGCTTCTGGATCCATCCCGCCACCATCATCTGCTAGTTAAGATTCAGTAAGTAATCACAATAATCAAGTCAAAATACATACTCAATATCCAATGTAAAGGATGTTTCAGTACCAAAATCAGCAGTTGATATTCAAAACTACATAATCTATGAACTTCACTGTACCTTGAATTAACAACGCAGGACTTCCATCCTTTGGATTTGAAGTTTTATCTACATTGACAAAAGTAGCCCCATTTTGGATCTATCCTAAGAACAAAAGTCAACGATGCAATAAAACATAAGAACAAAAATAAAATGAGAAGTCGAGATGGAATCACCAAACATGGAAAAAACACATACCAGTAATACTGTAACAAGATAATAGCAAAAGACAATAAGCTTTTCCATTAACCAATGCAATAACCTTTTTGAAAAATATATGATAAACACTTCCACAACAGAATAATTACAATGAACATGTAAACTCTGATAAGCCCTTAAGGTGTGCTTGCATTAGTGTGGTTATGATTTCATAAAAATAACTCTCACAGTAATAAACAATTCATTCATTTAAACTCTTTAGGCAGGAGTAGTAAAAGACATTATTAGAAAATAATTGACGGTAGATTCTCTTTTTTGGAGGGGGCGCTAGAAACTGCAACAATAAAATGAACTATTTTACGATTGGGGGATATCACAATGCAGTACTTTTAACTCTAATAGCCAACTTAGCATGTGGCTGAAGGTAAATAAGAATTGCAAGTGATTCAAATATGTTTTAAAAAAAAAAAAATACCTCATCGAATGCATTATCAAGAAGCTCAGCTATGGCTGCAGACAAGAACAAGGAGAAAAAATAGTTAAGAAAAAGGTCACAAAAGTGGGCCAACAAGAGAATTGTAAACAAAAGAAGCCTATTAAGAGAACTGTAAAAAGGAAAATAAGCTGGTTAAATTACAGAGTCCTTCAAAATACACATTTGATCAATTGAATGCCTAAAAAAATAAATCAATTCAATCTGGTCTTCACAAAAGATTACTTTCCAATAGGACCCTAGTCAAACATTAATTTCAAGGGTAAACATGGCAGCTAGTTGCCGATGTGACACCCAACAATGTGATCATATGGAAGTGAATTTCCATCAGCAACTTAACAGTTATGAATCATAAATAATTTCTAACCTACATGAAAAACTAAGGAACAAAAACCGATCAGTTTGCCTTTCAGTGGTCTAAATGTAATTAAACTAAACAAGTTCATATCAATACAAAAAACAACATACCCCCAAATGCCCATTTATGTGAAGTTGCATTTGAATGAAGGAACAGGGGGTGAACATGTAGGTAGTGGTTTGCATCTGCAATGTCAAGAAAATTCAGTCAGCAATGATGAAGTCAGATTGAAAGACAATCCAGTACTCATCAGTATGAAGCATGTAATATCTGAAAGCTATAATCCACACGAAGTCAAGAACAAATTCCTGTAAATCAACTGAAAAACATTGCATAATGCATGCACATTCCTCAATAAATACTAATATATGATCAGTGCTATCAGATTACTTTGAACTGGGATTTTAGGACCAAGCCCATCATCATAATTCCCAGCTTTCCAGAACTGCCTACAAAGGGGTGCCGCAGCAATTGGTGATGTATAAGATGGGCCAGAGTTATCAACTGGTGACAGCCCATGCTCCAACATACTAGGGCTGTGATGACCAGTACTCTGCGATGGACCACCAGAGTTCCTATTCTCTTCAGAATCTCGTTTAGCAGAACAAAGATGAGTGGTTTGTTGAACTTTGTTGGACTCAGCTTGTTGTTCTGCATGCTCTGCAAAATCTGACCCCAGTTTAACAGCTTTTAAACCAGTATCGCATTCATCATCACTAGATAAATTGATAATTTCTGTAGGCCCCTTCATTATCCCTGTCACCCAAATCAATCATATACAACTGAGTGCAATGATAAACCAAGTAGACCGCAAAGAGGAGTTACCACCAATAACACACATCCTTTTAATACATGGCCAAATAACTTCAGGCGTAGCTTGATGTTAAACAGGAAATCTACCACCAATAACAGCCTATTAATCCATAGCCGAATAACTTCAGGCATAGCCTGATTTTAAACAGGAGATGATATCACTAATCACTAAGCAAGAGAGTAATAAAGTAAATCATAAGTTGCGAGGAGCATGCCAACGTGTGGGAATATCTTGTTTTCTGTTGTAACTGTAAATATTTCCTATTTCCTAATTGTAAAGTTTTATTTGGATTCATTAGCCTTTGCTCTCTTGTCTTTCCTTGTTTGTATGTATTTAGATGTGTTTTACCATTTAGAGAATATAGAAAATACAAATTTCCCAAAGATTCAACATGGTATCGAAGCGCTAAGTTCAGAATCATAATTAGGGTTTATGGGCCATGTATTGCATGCAGTCCTCTATGTAAAGGCTCTGTGGGTGTTTGTGTACATGATGGTAAAGGCTTCTTAACTCTCACCGCTAGCGTAGGAAGATCAAAAGGCTCTAATTGACCACCCCCATAGATACAATATTGAACAATGGTGCATGTAATTCACATGCACCACCTGAACATTCTACACCAAGAATGTCTTGTGACATGTAGGTGTGTGATGAGTCTAATCAGATGATAGCTTCTTCCTCACCAATGATACACCATTTCCTATGAGATTTTGGTGTCTTTGCCTATTGTGAGTCATTTTACATCTACCTCCAAACTTTATGCTATGGCATAGGAGGATGGAACATGCTAATTTTCATAACTTTCATTAGTCGTTCCTAAATTTATTTCTAAACCAAAATATTAGTGACATCCAGCTTGAGGCATGTGAATTTGTGAGACACCATCAGTCTTCCTTCTCTAGGGCCAAATATGTCCCTACCAAACCATTTACAACCATACCCAATGACTTGTGGGTACCATTTTGTGTTGCCAACCACACTGAAAATAAGTGGTTCATTCTTTCTTACCATACTCATCTCTATTGGGTTTATCTTTTAAAAGATAAGTATGAGGTTTCATCCCTATTCCCCAACTTTTACACTATGTTTAATTACATTCTAGTATTTCAGCCTTCACAAATCAATAATGGCATTGAATACTTCAATCACTCTCTTTCAGTATGTTTCTTCAAGAAAATGGCATCATCCACAAAAGTAATTATGTTCATATGCCAAACAAATTGGATAGCTAAGGAGAAAACAGATTCTAAAGGTTGCAGAAGCCCCCATATTCATTCGTAATGTTCCAAAATATTTCTAGGGGTACATCCTCATCGCGACACATCTCATAAATGAAATACCAGGTTGAATGATGTCATTTGAATCAGCTCTCAAGAAAATCCAAAATAAATACCATAAATCCCATGTTGAGATTAGCCTTCCATGTTTTTCACTATACAGTGTTTGCATACCTTCACCAAAATCTTAAACTTGAACCTCGTGATGTTAAATGTATTTTCCTAGGTTACTCACCAACACAAAAAGGTTATAAGTGTTGTGATCCTATCTTTGAATACCTCGTTATATAAGCCTCGGTGTCATCTTTTCTGAGGATACCTTGTTTTATCCAAGCCCTTCAATTCAAGAGGGAACATGGGTAAATTTCAAACTTGAAGAGTGAGGAATCTAATAAAGATTCCACTTCAAGCACACTTCCTTTACCTGAACCCACTTGAACCTGGTTCAATTACACTTGATTCACCATCACAAGTTTCTTAACAAAGATCCTACTTTAAGCGCACCTTTATTGCTTGAACCACTTGAACTTGATTCAATTACACTTGATTTACCTTTATCGATTGCTTCTCTCATGCCAGAAACTAAGCCAACATGAAAATTGGGAGAGAAGTAGAAAAACACAACAAGGCAAGTTGTCAACTTGCTCATGTACTCGCCATCCCATTGAGATTTGTGTCATATAAGGCTCTTGCTCCAAGATTTTGTGCTATCATTATTAATGTACCCCTTGAAATAGTTATGGAAGGGATGAAAGCTCTAGAAAAGAACAATACCTAAGAGCATGATTAAAAAGAAAAGAAACTTATAGGATTTAAATAAGTTTTTACACCAAAGTATAATGTTGATAGTTACTTAAAAAAATTCAAAGCTTGTCTAGTTGTTAAAGGGTTTACTCTGGCTTATGGCATAGACTTCACTAGGATAGACATTAAGAATGTTTTCCTCAATGGTGACTTAGCAGAAGAAATTATACAACCTTTTCTCACTAAGGCAATAGCAACAAGGTTTGCATGTCCTTCATGGGTTGAAACAATCTCCTAAAGTATGGTTTGATAGGTTCTCAAAGGTGCTGAAAAAGAAGCACTATCAACAAGGCCAATTTGATCATACGCTCTTCATTAGACATAGTGAAGGAAAAAGGCCATACTAATTAAACATGATGACACCATCTTAATTGGGATGACATGAAGAAAATAGAGAGATTGAAGAAACTCTTAGTTTCTAAATTTGAAGTAAAAGATCTGGATTAAATGCACTATTTTCTAGGCATGGAAGATGTCAGGCCAAAGAAAGAATATGCATCTCAAAAAAGGAAATATGTCATTGAGTTCTTTGACAAAAATTGGAATGCTTGGTTGCAAGTCAATTGATGCTCCCATTGGAACCAAAAAAACAGAGAGAGAGAGAGAAAGGAGAGGGAGCCAAACGTCAAAAAGAGAAGGAAGAAGGCATAATAGTTGACAAGGTAAGATACCAAGGTTTGGTGGGAAATTGATATGCTTGTTACATACAAAACTAGATACCGCCTTTATTGTAAGTCAGCATGTGCTGTGTACAAAATTTTGAGGCACTTAGAAAGTACCTCAGGAAAGGGCTTATGCTTCTAAATACGGGTATTATACCTTCTTAAGGGCAACCTAATAACTTAGAGGAGCAGGAAAATCAAATGTGGTGTATAGTAATAATCATAGCACATGAGGTTTTTGAGGAGTTGTGGGGTACAATTGTAAATACTTCTTAAAGAAGTTCAAATTGGTGTGGAATTGCCTGTTAAGGTCTACTTTCATAGCAAGACAGCCATAAGCATATCTCATAATCCAATTCAACACGAGACAAAACATATTGAAGTGGATAGATATTCTATCAAGGAAAAGATAGAAAGTAGAGTGGCATGCTTAAAATATGTTCCATTAAAGAAGCAAGCTGCTAATATCCTTATCAAGGAACTTCCAAAGGAGAAATTCAATGAACACATCAAGAAGATTAACATGATCAATATATTATACAACTCCATGGTAAGTTTGGGAATATCTTCCTTTTTATTGTAAATATTTCTTAATTGTACAGTTTTATCAGTCTTTATCATTCTCAACATCATTGACCTTCTTTGTTTAATACCAAGGAAAAACAAACACCTAAACCATCTACGAGTCTAGTATAGTTAAAAGATCATGAGATTAAGCTTCATCCAACCAATACAAGTGTTATTTTGACCAAAAACAAAGTACTTCTATGGAACCAGAAGTGAAATGTTTAGATATTCAAAAAACCTCAAAAAATAAAAACTAAAAAAGTGCTATGATATGCTTTATTTGTACTAATACAATATAGCTCGAAGCCTTGTACACTTTAGACATCCATGATGCTCGACATGCATGCATAAGCAAGGTAGATAAAGATGCAGCTAAGTGCCTTCTAAAGAAGCCCAATGCTTCACACACCATGGGATGCCCAAGCTTGAGCCAATGGTGCCTTTTGCACTTTTTGCTTCAATTAAGGGATGCTCCTTAGCTGCCTCAATATCTAGATGCTAAATGGAAAAAGAACAATTAAGAAGCCCAAGTTACAAATTTCAAAATAATCATAGTATAAAATAGGAAACTACAAAACCAACTTCAACATCCTAACCAAGCCTTAGAGGCTTTAACAATTGAGTACGATAGGAGACACTCACACACACTTGGAAAACTGAGATGATTTAATTAAAAAGAGATAGAAATAACAAAGAATAGAGGGAGGGAGGTGCAGAAACAGAGAAGGGAGAGGGAGGAATAGAGAGGGAGGAATAAAATCAAGGGGAAGAGAATAGAAGTTGAGGGAGAATAGAATAGAATTTCGAGAGGGACTAAGAGAATCTGAAGAGAGAGAGAGATTTCATAAACTCAAATTTTCATTCCACCCAAAGTCTTCTTCTACATATATTTTCTATTTCTATTTATAGATCAAGATTTCCTTCTTTATGAAGTAATCTTGATAACAACTTACCACTACAAGCAAAATAAAACTTCGCTTCCTCTACTAAAAGAAAACTTGATGACAACTTTATCATAAAATATAGAAACAAAATCAAACTTGGCTTCCTCCACTAAAAGGAAACTTGATAATAACTTCCTAATAAAATATAGAAGCAAAGTAAAATTTGGTTTTCTTTACTAAAAGAAAATTTATTGACAACTTGCTACTACTTAACCACTAAAAAAGCCAACTTGCATAGAAATAATAAATTCAAAATTTTCTTCTAATATGGGTATCCTTATATTCTATCATTTCTCCCCCGCTTGAAGAAACACTCTTCCGGAAAGTAATATCATATAACTCCAATGGAACACAATGCTTGGAATTCCTCTATGCAACATCTAATCCGAGAATCTTTTCTAGCAGACTGGGTGGTGGAAAATGAGAACTGCAAAGAGTGAGCATTCTAATTGTGCTGATTTGCAAAACCTTTCTAATAAACGAGGTAGTTGTAGAAGTTATCATCAAATAGGAAAACATGCTCTTTCATAACAACTTCAGGATAATGTGCAACTTGATTCTAATGAACTTGAAGAATAGGAGTATAATGTGCAATAGAAATATGATGAATTTGAACACTTGATTGTCAATATTTCCAACACGAGGACTCGCTACAAATTGTGAATCATGATCCTTGGTCATTAATTGAAAATCTTGATTCAATTCAAGATTCTTGCCTTTATATTCCATAAAGATTTCTTCAAATTTAGCCTTCTCTTGCTTCTCAATAACATTTATGCTGGTTAACTTGTTAGCTACTAGTTACCAAAAGACAAAACCACAGAGAGAAAGATTAGCTTGATTATTGAGAATATTCGGAAAGCTTTTCTAATAAACAAGATACTCATAGAGAGGCTCGTTAGATGATGGGACCACCCTAGGTAATACAGCTTGTATTAGACAGGATGCATGCTAAAGTTGATCCTTGATGCTCACAATGTGGGATGGTGACACTTCTACTGGTGTAATTGGAACTACCTGATTATTGCTTGGAGAATCTTTCTTGTGAGTGACAAGATGATTAGAGTCCTTATTCGCCTCAACTACTGAAGCGTTCATGAGAGCCTGTTGTAAGGAAGGCGCCAGTAGGATATCAATGTTTGAAATGGGCTCCACATAAGGTATTACTTCTGGATGTGAGAAAGGGGCTTCTACCTCTGTTGACTCTTCTGATGCCTTTTCATCTATTTTTGATTTGATCCTTGCTCTGTTGTTGTATTGTCAATGGTTTTCGTTGGGTGTTAAAGGACATTCTTTAAGGCACCCCCTCGACAATTCCAATCATCATATTCTTGATTTCACCTTTGTTGAAAACGACTTATCATAGCTATGAGTTGTTCTTTCCATGAGTCGTCATCGCTTTACTCATCAACTTCTTGCTCATATTGATAATAATAATTAGTATACTCATCATAATGATGGTGGGCATACTCGTAACGGCGATCTACATGTGCATTTTGAGAAAGATAAGCATTCTGAGGGCGATTTAGATAATGATCTTTATTGTCATACTCACATTGGCCATGATTAGCAAACTCATATTCATAATAGTAATACTCCTCATATTTATACTGTTGACTAAGAAACTTGTCAGATAATTGATTCCTCTAATGAACTAGGATATGCTTTTCTTTTAGCTTTGCCTTCATTTCATTCCACATCGTGATAGGGGGTAGATCCAATCACTCCACATTTCATTTCACATTCAGCCACTATATCCTTTTGGATCCCACTAACTTCATCTTTTTAAATTAGACCCTTTAAGCATTATTCATGTCATACCACTCAAAATAGTCTTTCATGCCTAGCAGCCAATCTAGGAAGGCATTAGGATTTAGTCTCCCATCAAATTCAAGGGCGTTTTTCAATGACCTTCCAAAGTTTCCTTAACCATTCCTAAAAGTTGGTTCATATGACCTATAATGATGCTCTCCTAGGTCTTGATCATACAAAGTGTCATCCATATCCTCAAACTGACTAAAATCTATAAAATCATGAGGATGTAGTCTACTAGGCCCATAGCCATCGATTCCAAGAGCATGACCAGTCGTAAGAGACGTAATTCTAGGTTAATCATGGATAGATGATTGCTCCTTTCTATAATTGACTTCATTATATTCCTTAGTCTTTCTAAAACTTTTTGCTTTCTTTTTCTATTTATGATTTTCTCAACCATACTATCTATCATGTCTTTAGCTCTTTAAATATTTGAGTCATCATCTAGATTCAAGAGCAAAAGGCTTCAACTTTACCCTAAATAATGCCTTGAATGGATGATTCTTCCATTTGGAGTTAGCCCCCTTGTGAAACAGCGATGGTGATATCAATTTTGAGGTTTGGCATCGGGATCTAAGGGTTTTGGCTCTAACAAATGCAAAAACAAAGTTGAGTGTTTTTAGGTGAGTGTTTCTAGAATTTCTGGCAATAGAAGCAGCCTAGGAGCATGTAGAGCATGGTTTTGATACCAAACCGATGCAACACAAGAGATGATTTAAGGGAAAAGAGATAGAAATAACAGAGGATAGGAGGGAGGTGCAAAAACAGAGAAGGGAGACGGAGAAACAAAGAGGGAGGAACAGAATCAAGGGAAAGAGAATAGAATAGAATTCAGGGAGGGATTGAGAGAATCTAGAAAGAGAGAGAGAGATTTCGAGAACTCAAATTTTCATTTCATACAAAGTCTTCTTCTACACATGCTTCCTACTCTCATAGTCTCATATATAGATCAAGATTTACTTCTTTATGAAGTAATCTTGATAACAACTGGCTACCAGAAGCAAAATCAAATTTGGCTTCCTCTATTAGAAGAAAACTTGATGATAATTTCCAAATAAGATATAAAAGCAAAATCAAACCTAGCTTCCTCCACTAGAACGAAACTTGATGACAGTTTTCTAATAAAATATAGAAGTAAATACAATTTGGTTTCCTTCACTAGAAGAAAATTCAATGACAAGTTGCTAATACTTAACCAAGGAACAAAAAACCGGACCGGACACTAAACCGGTTGAAATAGTGATTCAAGGGTTAGTTGGTCAGATCAGAGTCAACTCGAGGTCCAGCCGGTCATATTAAAATAATATAATTTAATTAAAAATAACAAAATATAACAACATTAACAATCACTAATAACAAAATATAAGAAAATATGACAATAATTTGATTGCAACAATAACAAAATATAACAACATTAAAAATTTTGATTTTTATAATTCATCATTAATTAAAATTAATAATCATTGATACCAAAATTATCATTAAAATTCATTTAAATCTAGAGGCTGATATATTAGGAGCTGCATGAAAAAAAATAGAACTAATAACAATCTAATCATTCAAACCAATTTATTACCGATTCAAACCAGTTCTCTACCGGTTTAACTCCCTCCCGGTTTAGTATTCAAACTGAACCGATCCAATGACCAGTTCACCGGTTTACCGGTTGAACCGGCCAGTCCGAACTTGTTTTTTGTTCACTATACTTGTTGGTTAGCATATTGGGCCTCAATCCTAAGCCCAAGAAGCTTTAATCTAGACCTAGTTTACTTAAATGATTCTGTTTTATTTGTATCCCAGATTATAAGGGATTAGGAAATCATAGCATTTATGATTTGGGATTAGGATATCATAGCATTTATGATTTTTTGAATTTCCTGATTTTGTGGATCCTCCACCTTGTTTACCTTTATATTTGGGCTTACCCCAATGCCAATAACAAGAGATTCTGAATTACCACATGGTATCAGAGCTATGGCTCGAAATACACTTCAGTTTGGCACATATGGTGCCCACCATGGTGGCAGTAAAACCACTGATCTAGAATCGCATGAAACAGAACAACTTGATGCATCTTTGAGCAGAACCAATGGCAGCTCAAACCTTGGAGCTCCTGTCGATGCTACTCCTACTTCAATTGTAGGGCATAAACTAAATGGAGATAACTACTTACAATGGTTTCAAAGCGTATTAATGTTCATTAGAGGAAAAAGGAAGGAAAAGTATCTGACTGGAGCTGCTATTCAACCTGCTGCAAATGACCCCAAGTTTGAAACCTAGTACGCAGAAAACTCCATGGTAATGGCCTGGCTCATCAATTCAATGAATCTGGATATTAGCGAAGAATATTTGCTGGCAACTACAGCAAAGGAGATATGGGACTCAGCCAGGGAGACCTATTCTTCAATAGAAAACACTGCAGCCTTATTCCAATTGAAAGGCATGATCAAAGACTTGAAGCAGGGTGATCAAAAGGTGGTGGTATACTACTCAACATTACAGAAAATCTGGCAGCAAATCGATCTGTATGACACTCAGGAGTGGTCATGTGCAGCTGATCGAATGCTGTACAAAAAGTTGCTGGACAGAGAGCGCACATACGAGTTCCTACTTGGTCTGCATCCAAAATTCGAGGACGTCCGTGGGAGAGTCATGGGAACTCGCCCTCTACCATCACTACGTGAAGCCCTAAACATGGTGAAATTCGAGGAAAGTAGAAAATCCCTAACCCAAGGAGTTTTTTCTAACCCTGAATCTTCTGCTTTGGTTGCAAAGAACTCGAATACAGGAGGTCGTGGTAAGCGGTCAAGCAAAGGATGGTGTGATCACTGTAACAGGAGTGGTCATACACGAGAAATATGCTGGAAATTGCATGGGAAGCCTCCAAATGGTAGGGGAAACTCACGACCAGATGCAAAGGGCTATGCTACAAACCCAGATGATCGTAATGATAAAGAATCAAGTTTCCTGAGTGCTGCAGAGGTTGATCACTTAAGGAAGGTGCTTGAAAAATGCAGCCAAGGTAGCATTTTGCCTGAACGCACAGTAACTATGGGTAATTTGGCCCAAGCAGGTAAATATGTCCAAGCAATGAAGGTTACAGCATCAAAACCTAACTCCTGGATTGTGGATTCAGGAGCTACAGACCACATGACAGACAATTTATCCCTATTCAGTGAAATTAAACCCTGTACTGGAATAAACATTAAAATTGCAGATGGGAATCATACCAAGGCTCTTGGAATTGGAACAGTACATGTTACCCCTGAAATAACTCTCTATGATGTTCTTTATGCACCTGGCCTTAAATGCAATCTATTATCTGTGACAAAGGTTACTAAGACTAGAATCTGCACTGTTAACATGTCTGCCACTAATTGTACTTTTCAGGAACTGGGATCAAGGAGGATGATTGGCAATGCTTTGGAGAGTGAAGGGTTATATTATCTTGATGGACAACCAGAGTGCAAGAGGAGGATCATGCTTTCTGCAAGTAGTTCTATTTCTAATAAAGATTTGATGTTACTGCATTGTAGATTAGGACATCCAAGTCTTGATTATATGTTGAAGTTGTTTCCAAATATTCTGAATAAAAAGGATGTACTCCTTCATTGTGACACTTGTCAGATTGCTAAACACACAAGGAACTCCTACTCACCTCAACCATATAAACCCTCACATCCCTTCTCCTTGATACACAGTGATATTTGGGGACCTTCAAAAGTTTTAACACCTTCTAGGGCAAAATGGTTTGTCACATTCATAGATGACCACACACGCACAACCTGGGTGTATCTATTAAAGGAAAAATCTGATCTGTTTACCACCTTTAAACAATTTCACCAAATGGTTAAGACCCAATTCAACACATCTATCAAAATCCTTCGGAGTGACAATGGGAGAGAGTATCTTAGTTCTCAATTCATGCAATACTTAAATGAACAGGGAATTATACATCAAACTAGTTGTGTCTACACACCACAACAGAATGGCACTGCAGAACGCAAAAATCGACAACTACTTGAGATTGCTAGAGCCCTTATGATCACTCACAGTGTCCCACACATTTTTTGGGGAGAAGCTATTCTCACAGCCACCTACCTTGCAAATAGACTGCCTTCTAAGACCCTAAAATTCCACTCTCCAATTCACATCCTATCTCAAACCTATCCAAACACCCACCTGCTATCCACTATCCCTCAAAAAGTTTTTGGTTGCGTGGCCTATGTTCACAACTATCATGGAGGCAAACTTGATCCTCAGTCCTTTAAATGCATTTTCCTTGGTTACTCCTCAACCCAAAAAGGCTATAAATGTTACTCACCCACACTCAAGAAACTGTTTGTCTCTATGGATGTAACCTTCGCTGAAGATACCTCTTACTACCCTAAAAGTCCAATTCAGGGGGAGCATCTAGGGGAACTGGACCTTTTAGGAGCCCAATCTCACAAACCTCTGTCTCAAACACACATACCAACCTTACTTGAACCAGAACCTGTGACACACAATCAACCTGAAGCTGAAACGCACCCTGGGATGCAATCTGAATCTGAAATCAGACCTGAAGTCAGTACAATTGATGCTGAAACAGATAATATAATGACAGAAGCTGTTAATAATGGTGAGGTAAGGGAACCAGAAGCAGATTCACAAGATGCAGAAATACACCAGCAGCAAGGAGGAGATAATATAACCCCTAACAATCAAGAGCAAAACCAAGAGTCTGAATCTGAACCAGTTTCTGATGAT